AAAAGTAATTACAATTAATAATTAAACAATTAGTTACATGTTATTATTAATATTATTATTATTATTATTATTTTATATTACAATAAGCTTGCTTATATTTTAAATAATAACAATCATAATACTTTGCCATAAAAAAATATATTATATACGTTTTGGCATAATTTATAGCTTTTTCTTACATCTTCACTTTTTCATAGAGTTATCAGTAATCATCATCATACTGATTTAATTAATTAATTAATCATTCATATATTAATCATATATACACATAATAATCATTCTCATATTCTAATATAACGATATTTATGAACATTTAATTAATCTATTTATGTATTATATATTCATATACTAATTTAATAATCACAGTCATATTGATAATTATAAATAATCATTAATATACTGATTGAATTACTATCACACTGATTTAATAATTTTTTAATATTCAATAAACTTATTAAAGTTATTAATTAATTAATATACTGTATTAATTACCATTATTATACTGACCTATTAATTACAACAATCAATATTTCAGTAACTTATATACGAAAGTGTACAAATTTATCTTTCGTATTACAGTTTAGTTTCAAGGATTGTGTACAATTATCGCGATATTTCGCATGTTCCTTTATGACAGAATAGCGATCGTCTCTCATTTTTCTTTCATATCGTTTATTTTCATATTGTTTATTCTCTTTATCATCTATCTCAAGTCGTATATTTCGCAACATAGCGCTCAAATTTTCCCTATTTGATTTTTCTTTCAATTCGCCCTTTTCTTTCGAAAATGTTGCTTTGTGATCAAGTACTTTTATTGAATAATCTGCGCTTTTGTAGGAATGGTTTTCGCCATATATTTCATCCTTTTCCTTATCTGTGAAGCGAAGCTTTTTAGGTTTTAATCCTACTTTAGAGAAAGATTTTCTCGGTTTTATGGGTGCGTTTGGAGGCACAGGAGTGGTTCTCTTCGCCATTGGAGAAGTTACGAATAATTCGAAAATGCGAAACCAAAAACTGCCCCATGCTTCAGTCTAAAGGTAAAAATAAAATAGTTGCACAATATAACACACACACACACACACACACTTATTAGTATTTATTATTATCTTATGTGTATATATGTATGTCTCTGTATAAGTAAATATTTATTATTTATACGGAATCGAAGCCAATTGCAATATTTTTTAAAAATTACTTTGTGCTCAATATTATTTATAAAGAAAACTACCAATTGCTACCTGCGTGTGTAAATCTATTTTGAGAGAAAAAGCTGAAGTATATTGCAGTTTCTCAAACTAAAACTAAATTTCTGTATAAATAAATTACTAAATAACCTTAAGTTAGAGACCAATTTAATCAAATTTTGTCATATTATTTTTACCCGTGGAATTGTTTGTCCCATTTCTGCCGCAATATTAGATTGTTCACAATTTCGATCTTCAAATAACCGCATCGGTGTCTGTTTTGTATGATCTATAAAATTGCCATTTTCATTCGCTGACGAACGGCGCAACGCCATTCTTTACAAAATTTCAAAATTTTATGCGGCTTTGTCAGTTGATTTAAAATTTTTTAATTTTTCAAAAACAATTAGGAAAACGCAATGAGGAAAAGAGAAGCGCGACTGCGGGAATTTAACGAATGAGAAAAGCGCCACCGTTATTAAACGGGGTCCACACGAACGCGAACACGGTTGCTCTTTTATTCGAGTTAATATTGCAAACAAAAATTTTATCGTTTATTATACTTATCTACGGATGATATACATTTTGATATCATCAATGTATTTTTATATCGGATTGGATGTATAAGTTTGTTCGCTTATTATTTCTCTTTAGTGTACTCTGAGTAAATATAAAACATATATTAATATAATTAATATAATTTTAAGGCAACGTTTTGTATGCATAATGTGTATTATATGTATACAGCATACTCTATTATGTATTAAAGTCAAAGGTTGTAAATGTTATTTTCTTTTCTTTCAATTTGATTTCGACATTATATTGTATATATAATATGCACAATCATTTAGTCGCATTTTTATCTTTTTCGCTTTGAAAAAATAAAAATTTAATTTTTCCCCTTAATATGGAATTTATTGAAAATAACTTAAAAACTTTGATTTTGACAATACATTATTTTTTGTAGGGTTTTGCAATTCATTAATACGGCCTTGATATTCGGCGAAGCCTAATGGAAAATGGCGTCGCAGTGCGACATGAGCTGTCGGCTGTCGGTCGCCGCTCGCACCAGCTCGCACTCGATAAGCAGTTATTCGCCATCGTAGACGGGCACGCGTCGCAAGGTTGGCGCAATTATAGACGAGACGTACGAAGAGGATTGTTTTCAAGATAGTCGTACGTGTAATTGGGACAAAGAGACCGGTGAGAGCAATCGTTTTTTGAGGTGAGTACACATATTCTCTATCAGCGACGCAAACGTCGAGCGAAAGAAAGTCCGTAATGTCGAATATAGTAGATCCACGACGTGCCGTCGGAAGCGGCTGGGGCTGGCTACCCGTCCGCGCAGCGCGACGCATGCGCGATACGCGTCATCGTACGAACGACCGAACTTTGCCGAAGTGTAGAAAGTGTAGGGAGTATTGTTGATTTTATTCGCAAATTTTACAAATTCTCTCTTTTTTCCTCTTTTTCTTTCACAAAAACTCAATTTTGTCTAAATAATGGATAAATACAAATAAATACAGCTAACACAAATTATAAACGTAGAAAAAAAATGGAGCAGTAAGAACGAATAGTCCTTTGCTTTAGCCGCATTTTTTCTTACACTTTTTGCGCTTAAAATGAAACAGACATATATTCAGTCTGGAAAGAAAAATATAAATTAATAGAAAAGTGTAAAAGAAACATAGATTTGATTCTTTTTAACGACAATATCTTATACTTTTCTCATAAAGAAATTGTTTTAGAGTTGCCCTCTTTCCGCGGGAAAAAATATATTTGTAAATGTAATTTATCATATGCATTATATATCATTTTTGAAATATAATAATTACAAGATTAATTGTACATTATAATTGTATGTAATTTTTTTTATTTTTTATTCTCTTTTTCTCGAATTAGTCGATCTTTATCTCTACATTGTTTCTTTTTACTTTAACATACATAGAGTATCTTTCTTATCACGTATTAATTAATGGGACATGTTTTTATTATCTTTTTTACATCTTTACATCATGATCAATTTTAACATTTTTGCATGTTATTTATATTTTTTCAATTTTTCAGCTTGTGCAAAATGTCCTCTGTACAATTGGATCGTCCTCCAAAATTGGGTCAAAACAACAAGAAAGAGAACGAAAAATCTAGGAAATCTTTCAATACTTCGCACAAAAAGCACAACAAGCACGATGACAATCGTCACTTCAAATTCAGTAACAGGAAACGACCTCAAAGCAGCTTTAGCAGCAATGGAAAGTTCTTTCCACCCTATAAACGCAGAAAGAAGGAAGGTGTGATTATACCTCCTACGAAATTCTTACTCGGAGGCAACATTTGTGATCCTTTAAATTTAAATAGCATGCAAGATGAAGAAATAAATCGAGCCATGAATGCAGTAACTCCAAAATCAAGTCCACTTCCCACTCCAAAGCACAAAAAAGAGATTATTGAAGTGATTATTCCACCAAATATTTGTGATCCCTTGAATTTGACAAATTGTAATGACAATGAAGAATACGAGAAACAGTTGATATCACCCACAAAGAGAAATTCTAAAAGAAGAAACAGAAAGAGAAAGAGAGCCTCTTCTGGATCTGGAAAAGATGAAGCAAAGATGGTAAGTTGTGGCATTCCATGTTTATTTATATTGATTTATAGACATAGTATTTTTTTATTCTCTCTCTTTCTCTTTCATATCTATTTATAGATTTATTTGTAAAAATGGTAATATATTTTGGATTGTAATTTATGGTATAAAAACTCTTAACATGCTTAAAAAATATATTCCTTTAATTCTTAAAATTTTAAATCTTTAAAAAAAATGTTAGAAAATATCAAAAATTTTTAAAATTAATTAAAATTTCGTAAATATTCTAGAATTCTTATAATATTTAGGCGTTTAAAAATCTTTGATATACTGAATTCTAATAAGTATATTAGATATTTATATAAATTATATATTTTTTGGATATACAAAAATAGATGGAGTCTAGTGAAGCCAAATTGAGAGAAATTGAAGGAAACAGTGCAGCAATTGAATCATCAACAGAAAGGCTTTCTAATGAAAGAATTAGTTTAGAGGAGGCCCAAAATGCGCAGGATGAAAGTTTACTGAAGGAAAATAAGACAGAGAGTCCTCAGAAAGACAAAAATAGACTACGATTAAAAGGTTTAGAGGAAGTAAAAGATAAAAGATTGAGAAAAATTGACACAAAGGATAAAATAGTGAGCCCAGTAATACCGCAGCCTGGTGCTTGGAAGCCCAGGCCACAACATAGGCCCAGTCAGGACAAGAAAAAGAAACAACAGCATGCAATGCCCAATTTTAGGCCCAAAGATGCTAGATATCAATATGGAAATTACAATAGATATTACGGATATAGAAATCCTCATCATGAAGTAGATCCTAGATTGAAAGTGTTTGCACAGCGAAAGGAACTGTTCCTGCGGAAAGATATTCTGGACATTGGATGCAATATTGGTCACATTACACTATCAGTTGCCAGAGATTTTGGTGCCAAAAGTGTTACAGGGATTGATATTGATAGAACTTTGATAAATATTGCTCGGAAGAATGTGAAACACTATGTTAATTGTGTTCAAAGTCCCGCAAGCAGTGAAGATAATGATAAAAGAGATTCTTCGGATGCTAGCTTCTTTCCTATGTCGATGCCAATTAGTTATGGACCTGTGGATATTCCGGGATTTACGAAGAATAAGCAACATAAGGGATTCCCTTACAATGTCACTTTTGTGCAGGTAAAGTATATATTCACACATATATTATGTTATTGCATATAAATTGGATTGTTTTTATATCAATAATTTTCGAGTAATTTTTTCGAAGAATTGAAAATTCTCTCTGTTTAATTTAAAAAATTTAACAAAATGTTCCTCTTTTCTTTATTCTCTTTCTTTCTCAACCTTCCTTTTTTCCTTATCTATTTGTTTCTCTCTTTTTCTTTTTTTTCCTCTCTGTAGATTAAAATTTAAAAAAGAATTTTAAAAATCGGGAACATGTTTTTATCATAGATATGTTGGATATTATTAGTTTTTTAATTTTTTAAATATTAATAACAAAGATTAATTTTGCAAATTCAAAGAAATTTATATGTAAAACATTTTTGTATGATATAGTCATATCCAAGTATAAAATGATGAAGTGATATACAAATTTTCCCAATATTTTACGAAGTATAATTTACGTATACACACACACACATACGCGCGAATACATACGTACATCTATTTGTATGCGCGCGCATGTGTTTAATAAAAAGTTACGAAAACGTAAAATATTGAGAAAATTTGTATAACACATCACTTTATGATTTTGCATAGTTAGATAAGATTATTATATAAAAGTAATATTATAAAAGTAATATTATATAGCATATAAAAGTATCTTATAATATAAACTCCTTAGTTCACAAAAATCATTAAAAAATTGAAGAAATTTTAACTTTTTGAATAATGTTTCATAATCTAAATTGCCTGCTGATTTTATTACTTTTTATATATGATCATATTTTGTTACATATGCATGATATTGATATGGTTTCAGGGTAATTATGTGCTCGAAGATGATTCACTTCTATGTGCGGAACAACCGCAATTCGACACAATTCTATGTCTTTCTATCACCAAATGGATTCATTTAAATTTTGGTGATGCTGGATTAAAACAAACTTTCAAACGTATACACGCGCAATTACGCCCCGGGGGAGTCCTCGTTTTGGAACCTCAGGGTTGGGCCAGCTATACCAAGAAAAAGAATCTCACAGTGAGTAGTGAGCTTCATACTTTTAATGACTATTAACTTTTCATATCTGTGGACAATATTTTTATTCTACAAATCCACAAATAGTATACTAATATAATATATATTATTCTATTTTATATATAAAATATATTAATTATTATATATTAATTACATTTTATTCAGATAATTAATTAATGAATAACTAATCTTGTTTTAATCTGGCTTCTTTAAAAAATTATTTTAAAAGTATTTATTGAATTTTTTATCATCTTTAATTTGTATTCTTAACTGGATCTCTGTTAAATATCAAAAAGTTTTAAGATGAGAATCATTCATTGACTAAATTTCCTTAACTGAAATCAATTTATTAAATTTATTAAATTCATGAAAAATGACCAACATAATCAAGTTTTGAAAAAAAACTTATTTAAAGACATATTTCTACTTTAGTTTTTGTTATTATATTTCTGTTGTATTTTTTAATTTATTGTGAATAATTGTTCACATTTATTGTAAATGATTACTATATTATTCTATAATTGCCTTTTTATTTAATTGGTTTTAAATTAAACCTTTTTTATTCTATCTTATATTGGATTTTTTGAAACTAATATTTAATTCGAATTTCCTCTATCTCTTTTTTTCTTTGTCTCTTTCTCTTTCCTTTTTCCCTTCTCTCCTTTTCTTCTGCTCTTTTCTACCTTTCTCCTTCTCAATTTTTCTCTTTTTCTTTCCCCTCTCCCTACTCAGATCTTTTTATTGAATCCATATTAGACTTAATATTGCTCGTGCATGTCTTTTTTATTGTAATTTTTCTTTTTTTATTATTGGTTCTGATTTTATATTCTATCTATTGTTCTATTTCTATCTTTTAGGAGCGGATCTATAAAAACTATCATAGCATCGAGTTCCTACCGCAGAAGTTTACACAATATCTTCTATCTTCTGAAGTCGGCTTTTGCAAGTGCGAGGTTGTTTCTATTCCACCTCATCCCTCCAAAGGATTTCAACGACCCATACATCTCTTCACTAAGACCGGCGGTCCCTCTTTTACTACCGAACGAACTGACAGCGGCATCATGAATGATGCGCTGGCGAATCGCCAAGACAGGATAATGAGAAGAGATCAGGAAGAGATTCGCGACATAGAGAGAATCAAATACGAGCAGGATTTATTTCCAAAAGAAAATGTCAATAGAGGCAATATGTCAGAGATTAGTCAACATAGTGGAGATTTGAATCAATATGAGCAGTTGGCGAACGTATACGCACCTAGCGCGACACCATGTTACGATACTCCAAGTCACAATAGCGATAGTCAACCTTTGGATAGTCAGTCTTTAGATATGTCAAGGATAAAAGAAGACAAAGAAGAAACCTCATAAAATAAGAAAATAAATTTAAAAAACAAAAGAATTAAAAAGGGGAAAGAAAAGAAAAGAAGAGAGAAGAAAAAAATTAAGATATTAATAAATTAAGAAAAAGAAGAAGGCGAAGAAGATGATTAAGAAGAAAAAGAAGAGGCAGGAAGAGAGAAAGAAGAATGAAGAAAATATTAAAATATTAATAAATTAAAAAAAGCGTATTTTTGCGCATTTTAACACAAGAAATTAAAGTCAACTTGATATTACACAGGTTTCTTTAATCTTATTTCCTCTTCTGAAATTAAATTAATTCTGCAAAATTTGTTTATTTTTAAACTGAACTTTTGCTTTAGCTTTATTTTTATTTCTTCAGTATTACAAATTTTCTGCTGTCAAACTGTGATTCATTCGAAGATAAAGAATGACAATAGAAGAAACATATATGACCAATAAACGTTAAAAAAAACAATATCGGCTAAGTAATTAGCACGCATTACCTTCGATAGTTTCAATTTCTTCATTTGTATTAGACGTTCCTCCTCCATTTATTAGTACTTTTTACTTTTTTTTCCTTTCTTTTTTTTTTAATATAAAGGAGCTTAATTGATACATTAGATCAACATTACATTCATATGGCAGAAATTTGTTGGCTATATTGATGGATTATCGGATGGAGAACTTTTAAGAATCTCTATCTGGGTTCTAGAAATTCTGTATTCAATAGCTTATCAGTTCATTTGAAAAGATTTTGCATATAGATTATATTTTTTGACCATATAAAAACAGACTGCCATATTGTTACACTGTGTTCATGTCTATCTTAAAACAAAGCAACGTTATTTTGATAACTATCAATATTTATGGATTAACGCATAATGAATTAAAAATTAGGAATAATTAATCCATTCCCATGTTAGAAGTAAAATAATTCCAAATTGTTCTTTATAATATTTAATATTTATTCCTATTCCTAATATTCTTTCTATTATGCGTAGGATCTTAAGCGCGGAAAAAAGCTATGCGATAGCTATTCAATTTAGAGCTTATCCGAAAGGTGCGAAAGGTTGATTGACTACCGCGTCATCTCTTGTCGACATGTCCTGTGCGCAAGAGTCTTATATATTGAAAACAAGATGAAAAAGAGAAAAGGTATAATATTTCATACCCGTGATCCTTTTTCCATATACTTTCAGCGCGTGCTTAGTTATTTTTAATTTCTCATGGTATATCCGATCAAAAATGAAATAAACAGTTGGCTTCTAATGCGCCAAACATCCAAGCACCACTCCAAATACTCTAAAATAAGTTTGTTATTATACATATTATTTGATTATTATTATTATTATTCATCTCGATATACAATATTAAAATTCGCATAAATTTTTATCTACAATTACACGCATTCACGCAAAAACGCGCGCGTACACACACACACATGCATACATACTATACGCGCGTAAATGTGTGTGTGTGTGTGTGTGTGTGTGTATGCGCGCGCGCGCGCGCGCGCATGTAACGCGCATATGTACATACATAAACATAAAATTTATAGAAAGGTTGAGTGCCTTGTTAATCTTATTACACTACTTGGCAGCGATCATATAATTTTTTTTTTAAATCGGAAATATTCACTAAAGTGAAAAAATTTCCCATTAATTTTTATAGTAAAATTTTTCACGTTTTTATTCTTAGAGAAAAGTTATATGATCGCTATCCTCAAGAACACGTAAAAAGAGAAGAAGGACAATAGACAGAATCTTTGTTTCTCTCTAACGGAAAGCAAATAACAGAAAAACAGAGATTCTGTTTATATTTTCTCTTCCTTTTTATGTAGGCTTTACCGCTAAAGCATTATGGAGAATCTGCCCAATTTATTTTCATTATGTTTACGATGGTAATTAATATATATAAGGAATTTAAAAATAACGAATACAGAAGTCCTACTTTTGAAAGTCTATTCATTGGAACAGAATAGCGTTTGTTTGACCAATCAGGACAAAAGAAGCAAAAATTTCTATCCGAACAGTTTTGCATAACCGCATTATAAGTACACAGAAAAATTAATCAATTAATATGAAAATTATAACACTACTTTATATTAAGTATCCTTTATATCTAACATCTGATATTAATAAATTACTCTATGTATACATATTATGTGACTATGCAAATTTGTCTCGATAGACTTTTTAGTCTCGACTTTTGACGTGATACGAATTTTTTGAAACCCAACCGTCAAAGCGTCAAACGTAAAAACAAAGCCTAACCGTTAAATCTTTTTTATATTAATGCCTTGGCAGTGACAATTCTATCTGCTTTTTACTAACTACTGCAATAAATACGAAAAGCATGTTTCCTTTTATTTCTCTATTATCTAAAATCTAAAATATACGTAAATAAAGATGGCTAGCTAGTAAGAGAGACGCGTTGACCTGCAACGAAGCTCTTTACAAAAACATTTATATGATTACATACTCGTGTAAACAACACGTAACGAACAACGGCACGATATTAATTATGGACATAATAAAGATAGCGCAAAGCTCGAGGTCTATGAAACACATTGAAAAAAACGAAGCAAAAAATAGAATCTTTGTTCCTTTCTAACAAAAAACGAATGAAAAATAGAGATCCTACTTTTTATCTGATTACTTTATCTTCGCCACCAAAACATTGTGAACATGAAAACTACTTGGTTTATACCATTGAACTATATACATATGCCTATAACTCAATGGTTTATTCTTGCTATGTTTATAATATTAATTATAATGTAAAGGTCTGTCCAGATGAATTCGTATATTTATAATAGAGAGACCCTTAATTTAAAATTTAGACACTGTTTTCTGGTTTTGGCCAAAAATGGCAGTGAAATAGTCAGAACGCATTTTATATATAGCATTTATAGATTAATTACAATGATAAAATTTTTAATATTTCTGATTGATTCTATCATTTTTGGCCAAAAAGTTCTCAACCCTACAAGAAGATAAGTAGTGCAAAGAAATCCAGATTCTAATTTGAGGGTCTCTAATTGCATGCTTCTTAAAGTTTATAAAAATTTTTTGCATTGTAATATTATGTTTTTTCCTTTTAACTACTTTTTATATGTTTTATTTGTGTATTTTATTTTCTCTTTCGCATATTTATACTTTTTATCATTTGATGGGAATTTCTAATATATGTATGTGTTTAATCTCACCAACATATGAGTCCCTCTTATCGCTTAAAGATTACCAAGAGGCGCCAGCACCTCGTACTTATAGCTACAAATATACGAATAATGGGTATATCATTATTAATTCTATTTTTTATTCATCGACCAATTCCCAAAGCATCAGAGCAGCATCAGTGCCGCCGACGGTGACAATATTTTGGTCATTGTAGAGAAATCTGGCACAGGCCACCAATGAACTATACACTTTCTCTTCGATATATTCGGCCTTGGTATTGGTGCATGGATATTTGAAAAGCCGAAGATAACCTTCGGCATCGCCGCTTACGAGCATATCGTGTGCTGCTGATCTGCTGGAGGTGGTAACAACTGTGGTCAGTGGATAATAACGATTATTCCATTGTCCTGCAAACACAATCATAAAAAGCTCGTTTGTATGAATGTAATTACAGTAATATAGTAATAGTACTGTTTTGAAAATCTAATAGTAAAAAAGTTTGCATAAGATAAAACAAAATGAATGCAATATATAATAATGCAATAAATAATAATGCAAAACACACAAATTCTTAGAACAAGACCGTCTTTTAAATCTTAAAAAAAAAAAAAAAGAAAAAAGAACCTCCACGTCTAGAAAATTGCCACGAATGCCGAACACAACTTCATTCAAACCACCATAAAACGTAAACTAAGAACGATAGCGTCATGCACGAGGCGTGAGAAAGTTGCTAAAGAACCCACTACAGTGCCACAAGGCAGATGACCCCACATCATCGTATTCGGGCGCTTTTTTTAAAGTTTGGTTTCTTTATGGAAAACTCTTCTATATTTTTAAAATATAAAAAAAATATAAAAACACTAACCAGAAACCATATAACCCACAGTGCAATTGTAAGTGTACCACTTGACGTCTTTCATAACTAAAGGGCTCTTTTCTGATGATAGCACCTTGACATCCCCTAGAAAAAAATTGCATTTGAATATACGCGAATAAGATTATATTTTCTTTTGCTCCAATATATTATTTTTAATTTAATGTTATTTAATTGGCAATATGCTATATTGCTATATAATACCCCAAATTGCTATATATTGAAGATATATATGTATATATATATATATATATCTTCAATAATATCTCGTCGTATGGTATTGAAGATTGAAGATTGAAATTTGACCAATCAGAACAAAGAAACTTTAGTTCCTTTTGCTGTGATTATAGTCAAATTCCAATCTTTAATCTTCAATCTTCAATTTTCAATGCGTAGTCTAATATGGGCTTAAGCAATTGTATAATTCTTAATGTTTTTTGTATTATTGTTATATAAATTCGTCTGTATATTTCTTTAAAATGAATCAAAACATGACGGATGACTTACAAAACACAAGATCATAATCTTGAGTGACAGTTTGGAGAAAGCGACTGTCAGAACTCCAGTCGAGTTGTACCAATGGCTGTGTGCCGCGGATTTTGTTGCTCTTCTTATACGAAAATCCATCCCTAGATACTCTAAAGAGATATACGCTGCCATTTTGGGAACCCATAGCCACAATTTCTCCAGCTAGCCAGACAATAGGAAAATATATTGAGATTATATTTTCAGAAAGAGATGTAATTTACATAGTAATATGCAGTAAGTAAAAGTAAAGATATGTTGATTTCAATAATATCAAAAAAAGTCTAAAGGCTTTCTTTTTAAAATATCCCGGAAATTAATATTTTGTTTAAGAAGAGAGGAAATTTAAGTACACTCTGGGCCAAACATAAATAAAAAATAAATGCGATAAGAAAGCTTAGACAAAAAGCAAAAACTGATCAATTAAAATATCATTTTGTTTTTGTAAAAAAATTTCTTTAATTTAAATTTTTTAAACATTTAACAAGTTTCGAAAAGTTAAAATAATTCGAAAAATATTAAAGTAATATTTATGTCGTACTGGGATTATATCCAATGCAAGATAAAGGCGATCCGCATACTCTAAGGGTTGCTACAGCTGCCCCGGTATCAGCTGCGAGTACCAAAAGATGACCTTCGGATGATCCTGCCGCTAACGCTACGCCAAATGGGTGAAAGGCTATGCATATACATTCGAAACCCACCTGAAAAAATCACAAAAAGATATGTGCTATATATAACTTTAATTATATATACCTAAAAACCTGTTTTTTTTCAACTAAGGATATATACATATAAAGAAAGAAAATACACGAGATACTCATTAATTTTGATTTCCTCTGTAGAAGCGATAACAATTCTTAACACACTCATCTGTCTCAAAATTTACGTTTTGGTTATCAGAATTTGCTCAATATGTTCAATGTGTAGTCATTGAACTCTATATATATTGGAACGAGTTTTCCCATATAATTCTTGTATAGAGGAAGTAAAAAATGTAATTAGAATATATTTAGTGAGTTTTATTATAAATACGCATATTTTTTCTATAAAATATAAGATAAGCTTGTGGACTGTACTAAAAGAGATAATAAAACCCAATGCTGCTGTCTTTTTTCGATTGCATTTGGAATGCCAGAGTTTTGTCTAGCATGTATAAATTCAAAAAATTTTATTTCATTTTACAATGGGATAGCTGTTAAAAGAATTCTATTATATATATATATACACGGTCTGTCCCAAAAGTTTCCGAACTTTCTTCGTAGAATTTTTTTGACGGTTTCATCCGTTCGACTGGGCCGTCCGCTGTGCTCGTCGTCTTCCAGCGATTCTTTCCCGAAACTTTGTGAACCACTCATAAACTATTGTACGTGATAGTACTTGAGCCCCATAAGCCTTCTCTAACATTTTGAGTGATTCTGTAAACGATTTGCCCAATTTAACACAGAATTTCATATTGGCTCTTTGTTCCATGGTGATTTCTCGACGAATGTCAAAAAGATAACTTCAAATCTGCCCCTATAGTAAATTAGTTGTTAGTGGGATCTCAATCAAACTTACCAGAATTTTTAACAAAGTTTCTAGAAGACTGCGTGACCTTGATTAAACAGATAGCACTACTAATACCGTCTGTACAAAGAAAATTTGGAAACTCTTGGAACAAATCATGTATGTGTGTGCTATTTAAATAAGATTAATCTTTATAAAATTGACCTGTGTGGTCCACAATAGCTTGTGTCTTCGCCAAAGAGCAATATTTTTGTCATGTCCCGCAGTGGCAAAGACCTCATCATCAGGATGAACCGCCAAACCCCACAGTTGTCTGCCATGGCCAAATACGACTTGGTTGAACCTCCTCTGCAGAGAACCCTCTAGAATGTTGTTTCGCGTAGTTCCCACATAAATATTTCCGTCATTTCGTCCAGGACGTTGCGGATATATACTGCGAACTCCGCCCACCGATTCTGGCAGCTATAACGTGAAGATAATTATGTTAGCTTTACTTGAATAAAGTTTGTTTTTTGAATGATAATTGGACAATTTCCATTTAATTTCTTGATTAATTTGTCATTAAGAGAAAAAAATATAACTTCATTAAAATGTTAAATATATTAACGTAATGATATATATATATAAATTTAAATTACATTTATATATATTATTATTAATTAAATAAATAATGCAGTATATAGCAATTGAGTAAGAAATTTCAATTAAAGAAATCGCAACAAAGAATAGATTAAAAAATTACATATATTATATAATTTTACTTATATAAATAAATTATAGAAAAAATATATAAATAATGCATAAACAAATATGACGTCCCTCATATCAGCCACGTAATTGGTCAATTCTATATTATATTGTGTGAATAGATTTTTCTCTTCGTTTATTCTTACCAACCTTTGTATCAGTAATGCGTTTGTAGTTCTGTAATGAGTCCCAAGCGGCTATTTTTCTATCTTTTTCGCCACCAGAAAGCAATGTGCCTTCCGATAACATGACGAGGGAGCTAATGCCCTTGTTATGCGCTTCAAATTCCATTCGCACAAAATATGCCCCATCTGCATCCACTGAATATACCGTGATGAAACCGTCACTGTCCGCTGTGACGACATCACCATCTTGTTCGAACTGAATACTTGTTACATGTGTACGAGATGGCTAAAAACAAATCAAATAAATTTCAAATTGAAGATTACATAGAAATTTGAAATTGCAGAAATATAAAAATTATATATAAGTAATATTATACAAAAATATTTAATTACAATTTAACACAGTTATAATAAATATAACACAATCTGAGAGATTAAAATTTTTCCTTTATAAATCTTTTAATTTTTATAAATTTTTTGAAATGAGTTTATATAAACTATATCAGATACTCCATAAAATTTATTACACACACACAACACATGAACGCGCACATGCACGCACATATATATATATAGTACATATACATATATATCAAAAAAGATATTGATTCTTATTAAAATATTAACCTTAAATTTGTAAGCAAATTTTTATAGATTGTACGAAATATCAAAACATTAACATAGTTTATAATATTGGCTTAAAAATTTATACATAGTCTTCACATATTTACCGGTTTAATGATATCGGTTCGCTCAAAGAAACCGTCTTTCCGCCGATTCCAGAAAGTCAAATGGCCGCGCCCATGCGTTATTAAGAGATTATCGTCCAATGGATGAAATGCCGCCCCCGTGAGATCTTCTTGCATGGTCTAAATAAATTGCATATAATAGCAATGTAGCAAATTCTCGGATATAAATACATATATAAGAAATATAATATCAATTACTGTATTACAAAAAGAGGAAAACTTACAGCGACCTTGCCTAACAAGTGACCCCATTGCCACTGCCATACCGAAAGTATGGCTTCTCTTCCGGCATCCACGGCGAGTACATAACTACCACCATTCTATATATCAAATAATTCGAAATTTACATAATGTCTCTCTTAATCAATCATTATTAATTATGGATCATAAAAAATTTTAAATAATATGGCAAAATATACGCCATTTACTTTTTTCTACAAGACTTTTATTAAAAAGATTATTTTGAAATTCAAATTTATGTAAAAAGTACTTATTTTATACGTGTTTATTCTCTTAACATTTTTTTTCTATTATATTCATGAATAAAATATGGAGAAAGCAAATTTCAATAGTTTAAATAAATCATTTATTACAAAAAATAATATTAACTTGTTCTCCTTATGAAAAAAAATTTAGAAGGTATTTTTTTGAGATGCTAATACAACAAAAACAAACTAAAACAAAACTAATCTTTCTTTTACATTCTGCTTTTTAAATTATAAATAAAAAGGCTAAACCGTCAATCACTATGTGTTTGTCATCGTTCTATCTTCAATAATACTTCAATAATACCATTAATGTCAAGAATTTATAACTCTCTCTCTTTGAAATTTTTCTATACAAAGTCCAATCTTATATAAAGATTCTAATTCTAAATGTTAAATGTTTTTATTTCCTTAAATGTTTTCTGTATTCTTAAATGTTCGTGTTTTTGTTTGAAGTAATTACCAATTGTGAAAACGCTAATGCTGAGACGCCCATCTGAAATTCGGTCATACCGAATACGTATAGAGTAAGAAGGGTTTCCGTTGACCATATACGAACATGCGACTGCGCCTTTCTGTGCCTACCCGCTCTTTGACCTGACGCAACGAGTTCTCTGCTGGGATGAACCTAGAATGATGGGGTATTTTGATACTTAATTAAATACAATAATTGTCGGGTTTTAATGGCAGTAAATAATTATTTAAAAAATTGCATCCTTACGAAAAATTAAGTAATAAATATATATTCGGACAATCAAGTTAATTACTTTTCTATGAACAGTATTTTATCAATCTGTAATATATTGTATTTTTTCCCGAAACAATCTCTTGGAGTTCAGTTCTCAATTTGTCTTCTTATCGCGCAGCGATTACTTACCTCCATGCACGTAATATCTTCCGTGTGACCGATATAATGTCGTTGCGCGCTCTCCTCTCGATCAAAAAGAATAGCCACAGCTGCGACGTAATACAATAATTCGCCACTCGGTAAAACCCAAAGATTTCTGCGAGTATCGGTTCCCCGATAACCATAGACCCACTCAAGTTGCAACTTTTTCTCAGGTGGCGAATTGTCTACTGGCGGTAAATGAGAAGGGGGATAGAACGATCGCCTAAGCCCTCTGATCGTCACTTTGGCTGGTTCTTCGCGTAACACTTCCACAACGCTATAATCTATCGATGACATAACACGAATCTTATTTAATTCTAAAATAGAATTTCTTTACAAGAAGAAAGAGAGAAATTTGATCAAAAATGGAAATATCAAGCAATTCTTGCAATATTTTTTTCTTTTTCACAAGCAACTTTTATAATATTTATATTTTTAAGCAAGTCTTACTGCAGTAATAATTATTTTTTTCATGATTCCTCTAATAACTTTGATCAAATCTTTTTTTCTTTTAAGTATTTTTTTTCGAGTAACTTTGAATTATTTTTTTTTAACACGCAGTATTTAGAATTAGAGAAACAATTTTTATATTACTTTCTATAAAAAAAATTGCATTTTTTTTAAGGACGTACGTGTTTTCAATATTTAAATTGCGCAAAGACTAGCAATAAAATTAGAATTGGCTCATTGATTATTTTTCAATGATGTATAGCTTTACTGGTTAAAAAAGAGAGATGTATTAGATGTAAAGAAAATTTATAGTATACTTTGCTCATTATATGAATCAAGAGATCTTATATGAATCAAGAGATCTTTTATTAACATTGAAAATTAGTAATATGATTAAAAGTAATCAAAACTGGTCATTAATTATTTTTACCGTTTACTCGTATAACTTCGGAATCAGGCATGTATAAAGCTCGAGGTCTGCTCTTGCTGCGAGCCCTTCTCTGACGGCTAATCTCTTCTACAACAGTAGGTGGTCCACGTGATCTCGATCTTCGTACCGGGGATGCTGTGATACCACCGGCCATAACGAGAGCCGATCCAGTACCCAGATAAAATGTATCCATATCTGCGAACTCATTTCTCAGCTGCGAGAAACTTCTCACCTAGTAGCAAATCGCAAAATATAAAAATCTTTTTTGCTTGATATTGCAAAAAGTAAAATAATTAAATTTATAACGTAAAATAATTAAATTTAACTAAATTCAATATTTTATGAAGTTATATAAAAAATAATTCTGAAAGCTTCATTTTTAAGTTTCTAAAGCTTTATTTTTACGCTTTAAGTTTATGCCACAATATTCAAACATTACATATCGCACGCAAGTGATATAATTTAATTCTTTAAACAAATTAAATTCTTCAAGTTTTGTGATACATTGATTTCTATATGAATTTATTTATACGAATGATATATCGAATTCATAAATATATGTATGTAAGAAAAGAATATATATATGTATGTGTGTGTGTAGCGCGCGTTCGTGCGTGTGTTTGTGTGTGTACATAATATTATGTATTATACATAATGATACACGGATGTAAATAAATATTCAAAAAAATATAAGCTGTTTAACTAAAAACTGCTTAAGAAATTTACAAATATTTAATTATATATTATTATCAATATCTCATTAATCAAGAAAAAATTGGAAAGTTTAAAATTGATCAATTCGATTTTGTTTTTCTAAATACGAAATAAAGTGTCCTTTATGCGTAATCGAGATCCATGTGCTATTGATTCACAAATGTCAGAAATCATAGATGCGTGATGTAAAATATATACACATATACATACACGCACTCACGTACTCATATATAAAGAGAGAGAGAGAGAAGGGAGAAGGAAAAAGAGAAAGAGGATAAAGAAAGACGGAGAGAGGGAGAGAGAGAGAGAGGGGGGGGGGGGGGGGGGGAAATGGGCAGGGGGAAAGAAGTGAAGAGAGAGCAGGGGGAGAGAGAGGGAAGGAGAGGGGAGAGAGGGAGGGAGAGGGGGGAGAGGGAGGGAGGGAGAGAAGGAGAGGGAAGAGGAGAGGAAGGGAGAGGGGGAGAGAGAGAGAGAGAGATTGATTTTTATTAGCTTTCTCAGCTATTTGTAATATAAATCTAGTTTACATTAATTACAATATATTCTTTTAACATTCGCTTAAACGGCACAATTTCTTTATTCCGCTTTATTTCAGTTGGCATGGCGTTATACATTTTCACTCCTTCGTAAAACATACTCTTTTGCGCACTCCTTGTTCTGCGATATTTTATTGCAATATTCCCAGCTTGTCGTGTTTGTCTTTCACTCTCATTTCCCACTATTTCTAATCTATTTCTTAATTGCTCCGGTAACATGTTCCTTAAAATCTTAAAAATAAATATACACACATTATA